GAGAGAGAAAGGAAGAAAGAAAGAAAGAGAGAAAGAAAGGAAGAAAGAAAGAAAGAATGAAAGTTATTAAGTCTAATCTTCACTAGTTCCTTCTAGATTTCGATCCAAAACAAGTCAAGAGTTGGTTCAGGAAAAAAAATATTACAAAACTTAAGAGTAATCATATGAACATCAATGATTATAGCTCATAGTAATTTAACTTATATCTGAAAGATAAGGACTTGAAAAAAATTATTTTAATTAAGATGGTTCTTAAAATATGAGCTCGCGAATGGCATTGAACTAAGAAAACTTAAAAAAAAAAAAAACATAAAAAATAAAAAATAAAATAAAAACAGGAAAAAAAAGAGTATATCTTTCTGTGGTAGACATATATAAGAAACCGCTTCTTTAAGAGTAATATTGGTCTTAATAAGTCGAATATACAGCTATTTCAAAAAAATGTTGAATATAATGAGTTGCGACTCACGTCATTGTGGCAGATGATAACAACAGTCTTTTGGAAGCCAAGTTCAAGTTACACGTACATGCTTTAGATAATGTATCCAAGATGTTCTATTTCATATAAGTACAGAACGGTTTTGTTTACATTTTAGCTTAATTCTAAACCTGCGATGTGCTGTTCAGTGTTTACAGGGGGGCGTCAGGATCCCGAATCACGTGCTTTTTCCCGCCGAAATCCCGAATCCCGCGATATTTTGCCATCGATGACCAAATTCAACACATTCAAGTGCGTTTGAATTTTTATTTTATTTATTATTGTTTTCAAGTTTTCCCCGAAAATCAGAAAGCAAAATCCCGCATCCCGGACATTGAATTCGGTAATTCCCGAGCCACGCGGGCCGATGCGCGCCAATATCCCGAATCACGTAAGATTTCCCGGTTTCCCGGCTCCCGCTCTATATTTTATCCGCAGCATTCGACATTTTTTTGAAATAATTCAGTACAAATTCGTTCTGAAGTGACTGGTTCGATCGTTATGCCGAAAGGGTCCTGGCTTTTCTTCCGCCGGTAGATCTTTTCCTAAGATAAAAWAATCCTTTTACGAAAAATAGGAAATACTCCCTCGTAATCAAACATGGTAATCGATTCTCTTAAGGCTTAATGTATAACTAAATGATCTCAAAAATTGTTTGTGTTTTTTGGAATCGAATGATAACCAATAAAATCCTCTGTCAAGTAAAGAGTTTATTTTCTCCCGAATGAATAGTGACGACTGACATGAAATAATATATTGTAATCGGATATTTTTGAGCATTTTCATTCGGTTTAATCTAATGATTTCCATTTTTTACTTGAGTTCACTTGGCTTGCGTTCCTTTGTTTGGTTCACAATTTATTTGTCTCGTTTCTGTCTGTCTGTCCGTCTGTCTGTCTGACCGTCTGTCTGTCTGTCTGACCGTCTGTCTGTCTGTCCGTCTGTCTGTCCGACGGTCTGTCTGTCTGACGGTCTGTCTGTCTGACGGTCTGTCTGTCTGACGGTCTGTCTGTCTGACGGTCTGTTTATCTGACCGTCTGTCTGTCTGATGGTTTGTCTGTCTGATGGTCTGTCTGTCTGACGGTCTGTCTGTCGATCTGACCGTCTGTCTGTCTGTCTGTCTGCTTCCTTTTAAAAATATGTTGTTCCTTTTAAAAGTTTGCTTTTGTCACTGTTATTAAACATAGCAAGGAAAAAATGTTTTATTTGTTTCACTATAAAGTAATTTAAAAAGAAAAAAATCCGTTGCACTTATTTGCAAAGCAGGCTGTGCTTAGATGGCATCAGCAGAGTGCAATGTTTATTAATAAACCACAGTTCTAGACCAATTAGAGCGCGCGTATCAAAGTGCTTATGACATATTTCCAAGATGGCGTCTATTTTGTCCCTTAAGACAGTCCCACAATGGTTTTGGTACAAAACCAGAGCAAATCTAAAGTCACAGATATATTTTCCATGCTTTTAGAAGTGTTTGATTTCTTTGTGGATGATATTTTGTGTTTTTGACAGTTTCCCCGGATGTCTTCAAATCACTTTGCACAGCCAGCCATTCATAGAGGGTGTACGAAGGGTGGATAGCACTATCCAATGGATAAGTCCTTATCCAGTTGATAAGTCGATGCTGTTATCCAATAAATTGATCCCATGGGTAAGACTTATACTCCGGATAGCGCTATCCACCCTTCGTTTAACTGGTACCATAACTTATGAAACCTCAGATATAATATAAGAAACTAAATAAGTAAACAAAGATTTTGTAGTACCTTGGTAAGAGGATCATTGAAAACCACTGCATTATCCAAGATTTTATCACGACTAACAACGTTGACCTGCCGAAAATGGAATATGTATTTGTTAATACCATAGCAACAAGAATAAGCAAATATGATAACTATCACACCTAACAACAACAAAAAACAACGACGACAACAACAACAATAACAACAGCAAAAGCGATAATAACTATAATAATAATAAACCGTCGGATAGCGCTATCCATCCTTCGTACAACCGTACCCAGTAAAAATAAATTTTGTAAGCTGGCCTACCGACTAAGTACTGTTATGTCGTTGTCATGGTTACAAAATTCAAAACGATGACTTTTTGCTAATCAGCTCCAAAGCTAGCCTCCTTTGCAGCCGTTCTTAGGGTCGTCACGCAAAAAAAACGAGAAACGTTGCGTGACGACCCTAAGAACGGCTGCGAAGGCTACTCCAAAGCCGGCATAAAAACGACTTCTTCCGACGCTTAATTACACACACTGCCCTAAATTCCCCTCTCTCACCGAGTCCAAATTTTGAATGTCATGATGGACAATTAGTGAAGGTTAATGAATCTTAAAGTAAGGAAACATGAGAATTTTTTCTCCAAAATTACATGTTCTCAACACTCCTGCGTCATAGCATAATAAGCGGTCAACTTTGTTTTCGCCTTCTTTTCACTTTATAGCTATATTTCTGTGTACTAGATTTGGATGTCTTTTAGATTTAGTCTATTTGGTCCGAAAATTATTTTTTCTTTACAGAAAGTAAAAAAGAGATCATGAATGTAAAAAGGAAAGATAGAAGGGTGTGGGGAGGGGACTGACGAAGAAGAAAGAAAGAAAAGAGGATGGCTGAATAGATRGAGCGAGTGAAGGATTGAATGTTTTTAGCCTTTTCGTTTTTATTCAAGCCTTTTGAGCATTGGTCTAAGAAGCTTCTTCATATTAGTGAAATTTGATTTTCAGTTTTGTTTTACCAGAAGTCTATCAAATCTTTCTCGCGTATAAAATACCCATAATTCTACGTCTCCAAATGATACGGTCATTTTTCAACCACTTAACATTAAGTGGGGGAGGGGAGGGTAAAATCACTAGAAATGTCTTTTTCTGTAAATTGCACCGGAACCCTAAAACAATCTCTTGGTTTATAGTAAACCATTGCACGACTAACTCACAGATCGAACCCTAAAACAACCTCTGGGCTGATCTAAGTGAGGGCACGGCTAACTCACAGATTGAATCCCGATACAACCCCTGGGCTGACTCTAAGTCAGGACGACACGGCTAACTCACAGATCGAACCCTGAAACAACCTCTGGGTTGACTCTAAGTCAGGACGACACGGCTAACTCACA